TCTTTTCACGAACACCCGGTGTCATCACCACATTACGTTCAGATATTTCTATAACGTTCACCGCTATTTTCCTTCTTACGCCCAATGGTATATGTTTTGTCGAGACTGGGTATTCTCCGGCGTTGACGTTTCATATCATTTGAACGGATCACTGAAAACCATGTCTCGTTATCTCATATGAATCAATAGAAATCTCAAATATGGGTCGGTGTTATATCATACGAGAAAGATCGACGTGTTTTGTACTCTATAAAATCATTCACCATAGCAACGCTGGCGACCTTACGCCATCACTTAAGCCACCTTTTCACAGTGGCAAGAAAATAGATGAAGTGCATCGGCTTTAAAGTCAACCATTCTTATGGTGGGGGTTCTGTTATCCCGCAAAAACGACCGCTATCTTAAGTTTGAATATTGAAGGATAACCCTAAACCTAAGAACTTAAAATTAAAGTTTGATGTGACATTGAATTTGACATCAACTAAAGTCATTTGGTAATTACACACACTGTAACTAATGTTGAAGGGAACACCTGTATATCATTTGGTACTTACACAAAAGTATAGTTTCTGTTTGAGGTCACACCTGCATCTCTTCTCCTGTATAAATAACACACACCATGACCTCAAACTATGCATGGTCTGACACTTTGGTATTAGCATATCATCTGTTGACCGTAAACAACGTCATCGACTCGGATATTGCCTCATTAAACCAAATGTTTAACTTTTTAAATAATAATAGTAACAGAGATTAAGTACGATGAACAGTATCAAAAGATTCCCCTTAAGTATATTCCGAAAGTCAAAGGGTTTTATGTTATGGTGCGTTTTCCGTTGTTTGTTGTCTTACGAACCGATGAAAGGTGTGAACATGAACAGTGAAAATCATGATGTTTTGGGTGGCAAGGTGGAGAGGGAATTAGTCAAAACACATTTAAAATATCTTTATTATTAACGAAGTTCTAGAATGCTGAAATCTGATTTTGCTATATTACCAACCGTTTTAGAAAATGCCACTTTGATGTCGTCCCTTTAGAAACTAAAGTCTTTGAATTAGATAATTAACACAACCTGAATGAGATGTCTTCATAAAATAAGATAGGAAACTTCAAAGTTAACGTATTGTTTTTCCTTTCAACAAAGTCAGAAAAGTATATATGACATCACTTTTCCAGAATCTCTTTCACTGGATTGTCTGGTCACGGTTTCATAGTGTACAGGCCCCCAGAAGTTTTGAACTGAGGCTTTTGGCAACAAGCACTTTCTCTTTATACACATTGCGTTGCGGTGGGTGCTACCAGTAGGACATAGCATGCTTACTTTACGAACACCTGGTGTCTTAGCTGATTTGCAATAGTCATTACGTATGATTTTCACCATTATTTTGAATTATACGCCCAATGAAATTTTTTTCGGGACTGATTATTCACTGATGTATTATATATGCTTAATTGTGAAACAAAGAAACTGTGGAAATAGTCTTCTGTATTGGTAAACATGGGTCCTTCTCATGCCTCAAAAGTCCAGAGATTTGAAGCTATTGGTGACAGTAATTTTGTTTACGAGTTTGTTAATATTATTACCTTGTCATAAAGTAACAGACCAGGGTGACAATAATTTTGTAGGATTTGTCACAGCAGAGTAATTCATATTTATTCACTCCATTTGGCTTGTATTTCTTTATATCCTTGAAACATATATATGAATCAATAAAAAAAACTATCTGTGGAAGTGAAACTTTGTGAAGAGATCAAAAGAAGTTTTAAGTGTTGGTGGTATCATTTCTACTGTCAATGTTGAGAAAACATCTTACATTTGATATAACCGATGTACTAAATAATTTCCCACAGATGTGTTACAAAGTATAGAGGCTATTGCCTTACTGTGTTATGAGATACAATGACACAATTTGGCCCCTAATAATAGACTCATAACCTCTCGTGATTCTGAACACTTAACATATGCCTGGTGAACTACAGTGCCTAGGCGCGGTTTCTTTGGAATGATACAGTACCACATGGATACGCGAGAGCATACACAAACATTCAGACATGTGTATATGTATAAAACCATACTGATTTAGACGTACTCATGGTAGTACTATTGTTTAAAGATATCTTTCTGTGACAAAAGCGTGTAATGGGTTCATCATGATGCAGACGAAGGTTAAAAAGCAGAATTGTCTGCAGAACAAAGGAATGGAAGTACTCATGTGTTAGTATTGGCCGGTTGAGGTTAACATTAAACTCGATAGGGCGTAAATGTTTTGTAGCAAGGATACTGCTTTTGTTACTTTTGTGACATTGTTAGCAAAGCCCCTTCGTTGTCCAGGATAGTGTAAAATAGAATTCCCTAATTTGTCTTCCCCCTCTAACACAATTCCTACTTTCTGCCTGCCTCCCTAGTCATAGACCTTGGCATAAAAGGAATGGGTAAAGGTTGTATAAATTCTTAGTATCATTCTAAATTTTCATTCATTGGTACATATGATTCATTACCACGGCGGGATAGGAAATGTTCTCTTGCTATGCACAAGGTTAAGGTCATAAGGTTGAGGTGATTTCATGTATTTAATTAGCATACCTTCTGCTCACGACAGTTACACAGAACTCTAGGCCCGAATGGATTACAAAAAGACAAGATATTTTTCTTATCAGTCTTGCTTCATTAAAAGAGCTCACACTTGTTGTAAAAGTAAGTCAGGTCATAATTCATACACTATATCGTATTGCTTGCTCTAGAAATAATATTTCAGTTCTGGTGGGTGAAGGGTTTTATTTGTAATGTGTAATATTGAAAATAGTAAATGTAATCATATAGAATAATGGGCTCAAGTTCTTACACATTCTGTGAACCAAAGTCATATCTGATTTCATAATGCTCATCCATTTGTGCATCTGTTTTCTATGATAAGCAAAACATGTCTAGTGAAAACCCACAGTTTAAATAGTTTCCACTTGAAACACACTGACACATTTGATTGACTCTTTCAAGAAATATTTATCAGCCCCTTTCATTTTGTGTTGTAATTAGTTTGAAACATAACGTATTAAATCCAAGATTTTGCCTTTGAAACTGAATCAAGGAATCTGTTTGCATGAAGCAGTAACTATATTTTAAATAATCCTGTTTATGTTTACACCATCCATCCATATTTCAGTAATGAGACTATTACTCTTTAGTTTCCACATACGCAACAATATGCACCAAGCAAAAGCCTCTCAGTGTGTGTGTGTACACGCTGTCGGGAAACTACAGAACGTAACTTTCTATCGTGATTAGAGTGCTAAATATAGGATATCGATTTGCTGGCAAAGAAACCTACACTAAACTAATGTCTTCTCGCTATTGGCTTGACCGCATTGGTTTGGGTGGTTTACCTTTGTCTATTGAGGATTGCGATTTGACGCTTTTTTCTGCTATTTGTTTTTTCTTGTAGAGTCGCTGTTAGGTGTACATTCATTTGCATGATAATGCGTAGCATATCCGGTAGTATAGACTAGTTAATTATTATCAGATGTTACACCAAGACTGTTCACCTTTTGCATTTGTTCCTCCTTTCATGTTGTTTTCTGAAACACAGTGTTTGGATAGGTACTTCAAGGTTATGTAAGATTACAATTATGACATACATATATTGAAATATGCTTATAAATGTGAGTGTTTAAAAGTATTTATAAGCACAACAAAATGTATACGAGCAGTGCACATAAAATGACCCACAAATGTGGAGAATATATGAAGCTCTATATAGATGTTTGATAAAGTATGGAATTAGGTATGTAATAGTGATTGGAACTAAAATGCCAAAGAGAAGTACACGGAACTATGTTTTTCTGAAAGGACTCCATCCATTTTAGTGAAAATCAATTAATACAATCTACCACACTAGATATATCAGTCTGGACGAATTCATTGAAGCACATCTTGGACTATATGGTTTTTCACTATTCTATATACCTTCTGTTCTCCTTAAGGCTACATGGGTTGGAGTATTTACCAGTTACCACATTGGTTTGGTTGGTAAAAGGCAAGAGAAATGAATACATGCCAATACATTGTTAACTCATTTTGCATTTGTTTGTGGCTTGGTGTCCGAAAAGTAAGCTGCTGACTGACGAGATCTTTGTCAAATATAAAATAAGAACATTTGGACAAGTCGTATATATAACAACTATACACCTTTTCAATCCGATCTGTTTCTCGTTATTTACAAAATCGGACTTTTAGGCCAAAGTCAAGAGTTTTAGAAAATCTCCTCGCCCAAACTACATCAGCATTTTCAGCTTTCTCTATACACTGGAGTTGGAAATCGGAGAAACAAATAATTAATCCTATTCTTATTAGGACTGTGCATAGAAATAAAAAATATGGCATCTTCCGTCCCAAGCTGTACAAATGATTTCATACTTCCAATTGTAAACTTCCCGGTCATGTGGAGCCCTATACCTTAGCTCCAGCTAATGGCTTCTACATCTCACAAAGTTTAGTTACTCTGATAAATGTCAATTTTATTCAGATTCCCACACATTTTGCTTACAAGCTTTTTTCAATCCCGGTGTCACTAGAAAAGGTCTGGTTAGGTGATTGTTGTAACCATTCAGAGGAATTATGTAGATATGGCAAGCGTTTGTGAACATGGCGTTACCATTGAGTTTCCAGACACCCTTACCAATTGGCACTTATTTTTTTAATGAACACAGTATCAGTAGTGGGTACCAGCAGTTGTGTAGAATATGCGAACACCTTGAATCATCTCTGATTTTTAGTGATCCATTAATATAACTTTAACTATATCACTACTATGCCTTTTACGCCTTATGGAATCTGTTTCTCTGTCGTTTATCCTTTAAATTTGCAAAGACTGCAATTGTGTCATAAAAATACATCTGGCATTCTCAAACTCAGATCTAATACATGCATTTTTTATTGTGTTATTTTTATTGTGTTATTGTTGTTTTTTTACATGTATTATTTTCTTCTTGTTTGTGTTTTCAGATCCTGCCAGCAAGACATACTACCATACCACACGATAGATGTCCTCGACGATGCTTGCAGCAAAAAAAGAAGCAACAGCTTTCCAAAGTTATGGCCTTGTTGTCACAATCAATGTTGAATATATTTTCAATTGAAGATCTATAACTATTTTTATTGTATGAAGTGCTTCAGTTTAACTGGTTTGTGTTCTCTTTGTGTTGGCATATTGCATCGCTTATTTTACTGTGTTCAGTAGAGAAGAAAACGATTTGAAAATGTATGTATTTATATTATTATTGTGAAAGCGGAATTATTTCTAGGAATAGTAATAACGCATTCTTGCAAATCTTATGATAACTGGGGCTTACATCGTCTTACACACTCCGTATTACCAGATTATAAATTGTAATCAACAGGTTCTGTTATTTAAATGAAAGGATATAATAATGATGTGTTTTGATTAACATGAATTTTTTAAAAATCACACAATAAAAAACAATGCGTTTCTATTAAGTTGATGAGAATTCCTTCTTTTCCTTCATCATACCTCGTTTCCACAGCAAGTGAAAAGTGGTATTAGGAAAATACAATCAAGTGTTAGACACATTAGATATATGTCTAATTCTTTACTATATTTTTTTTTAAAATTATTACAAGACAAGAATAATTAAACTAATGTAACTCTTCTTAAACTGGGTATTTTTAGATACTACATACTTTTCAACAAAGCACTAGTAGTACTCATCAAAGCAGCACATGAAGATAAATATATAAATTAATTATAAATTTAAATCATTGATAATATTCATCATCATATTAACGTAAATTCCTCACTTGATTAACCTCATACAATTTTTCTTATGTTTTACTTAACTTTATCGACTTTGGAATTAAGTTGTACCAACATCTGAGATATTTTAACTTCGACCAGATCTACGGAGAAGGCATTGGCCATGTCGTGGTCAGGCACATACATTTTTGGGATGCAGGCTAGAGATAAACTCCAAAATGAATATAAGGGACAAATTTCGGCCACAATACAAATATAGACTTTAAAATTTTGAGAGTTCTGACGTGAATGCACGCAACAAACTCAAAGCCACCAATACTTATGTTGTGCCCGTTCTCTCTTATTTTATGTGTTGTTGATTGGACCACAACTGAAATTCAGAGTATTGACACCCTCACACGAAGAATCATGACAGACAATAAATGCCACCACTCTTGATATTTCCTCAATAGTTTATATTTATCAATTTTAATGGGAGGGCGTGGTTTGATAAACGTAGAGATGCTTCATGCACTTTTGCACACATATAATTGTCAGATGATCCTCTTGTGAGGCATGTCAAAACGGGGCATTCCAAAGTTTTCAAGGAAGCAGGACACAATCCCAGTGCCCATGTTGATTTTGATGATGGTTCAATATTGCTTGATGGTACAGAAATGAATGTCAACCAAGCGAAGTTCCATATCGAATCGGCACAGACTCATTTCTTAGAAGGAAGGCTCCCTTAACAACTACTGAACCACATTTAGGTGCATTATATTGAGAAAGCAGGCTTTGGGAGTCCTTGAATCAAGTAGGCTGAAAAGTGAAACAAAGGCTTTCTGTTTACTCTTCAGAAACAGCCACTTCCCACTCGTAACAGCTAATGTGTACGTTTATATCAATATGTGACAAAAAACGAGAAATGTAGATTATGTTATGAATTTAATGAGACTGTCCAACGCTTCACAGTATATTAAGTGCATGACTTCGCCATGTTTGTGTTTTTAATTCCATCCATTGAGGTCCATAAATGGTACGATCCTGAACATATGCAGGGAGCGTCATGGAAAATTATTTATAGCAATGAAGTGTGTGTCCCTTCTGACAGTAATGTGATGTACAGGTTTCAGAAGGAACATGGCAAATGTGTGGACCTCGAAATGTCACGCTTGTATTCCCAGGTACCAGATCGTTGTAAATGCGCCCCCCACCCCACCCGGTGTTTTTGGTATTTTTGTTTATTCCTCAAGTTTGGTACATCCAGATGTCCAGATCACTTGACTGACATTTGGACCGCACCCGGTTTTATTTTCATTTGTTGTTACATTTCTGTAAGTGTAAAATGCGAACCGATTGAAATGTTAAACCGAAGATAGCAATATACGAACCTCATATATTTTATGTGTAACAGTATGCGAGAGGGAATTACACGATGGTAAGATCTTTTACACGAAATGTTATTTGGAATTCATATGGTGCCAAGTATGTTGCAGCTTTGTTTGTTTGTTTGCTGAGCTATCACTCAACATTAGGCATCAATTTTCCGAAAGGGTAGGCGTTCATTGATTAATGGAGTCTATTAAAAGTAGTCCTGGTGACCTTCTTTGCATATTCATTCTGAGCGTGAAACCAATTTAATAGATTGGTTTATTGCTTTATATGATGATATTTTAACATTAGATAAATCAGTCACGATATATGCTCATAAGTTAAGACCATACAATTTTGTGTCCCCGCTATATAGTTGCAACGAACAAACAAACTATACTCTTCAAAAAACAAACCTCACATAGGAAACATTTGAATTTTAGGAAAATATTTGACACAAACCAATCCATGCTGAATCCCGACAAGTGGGGGAATGGTTGCCGACGACAAAACGTTTGAAAAAAGAAACGTTGAACAAAAACGTAAAGTTACACTAACGTCTGTAGTGAATCGCTAAAACGCACCCTACATGAAACGCACGTGCATCATGAATTTGTGTATCCCCCTGAGCTGAAGCCTTTAAAAAGCCACATCAACTGTACTCCACATGCATTGCTTTAAGCCACTTTAGACGACAAGAGAAAGAAAAAACTGACAGAAGCTCAACGACACAACGCCATCGGCCGTTTACAAGGACTGGCATTGCAGCATGAGGTTGCAAGGCACTTCAGCGTGTCCAGACAGACCATCTCAAACCTATGGACCCGATACTACAATACTGGGAGTGTTAATGACAGACCCAGGTCAGGTCGACCTAGAGTTAAAACCGCCGCCCAGGATCGCTACATCCGGTTGAGACATCTTCATTCAATCACCACGGCTGCATCATCCACAACAATCCAAATCCCTAAATCTCCGACCAGACATTGCGCAATTGGCTATGGGAAGCCAGACTTTTTGCCAGAAGACCAGTTCAACGTCACGTCGTTCCCTTCATCAACATCAACGGTTGATGCTCGACTTCAAGTTGCACGTGTTTTGAGAGGACTTCCTCCAGCAAAACAATGTTCAGGTGTTACCTTGGCCTTCTCGATCACCCGATTTGTCCCCCATTGAACATCTATGGGATACTCTTCATCGACGCTTGCGCCAGCGTATTCCGCCACCTCAGACACTACAAGAACTGCACACAGCACTTCAGCAAGAGTATCAAAACATCCCTCAAGACAGCATTCGGCATCTCCTTTCTTCTATGGGTCACCGCTGCCAAGCTGTTATCGATGCTCATGGTGGTCACACCAGATACTGACATTTTACTCTGACCAATTGGCTTTAATAGCCCTCTGTAGTTTTACCAAAGACTTTCTGGATGATAGTGGAGCGGCTAAGCAGATAAAATGTGCATTTAATGATAAAAGCATGAAACTTTGCACATGTATAGACTGATGCATAGTGAACATATGAGGATATGGAGGCACTCAAAATAATTTCATTTTGCGCATGCGCAGTAGATAGATAATATTTTGCCTTTTCTGGCTACTGTTATAGCTTTGGGACTGCCATCAATACTCTACTGGGACGACATGTTTTAAAAATACTAGCCCTTGCACCAGTGTACGTTAGGACCACAGCCCTTGCACCAGTGTAAGTTAGGACTGTTTGCACTTGCATCGGTTGTTACACCCTTTTGTACAGACAAGATACCAAATACTGACAAGATTTTGATGCTTTGTGTAGTGTCGTCCAGTAGGGAACATACTGTCCACTTTCCTACTTTTGCTGTGACATCTCGGGATGAAGAGTAGTCTTAACTTCTGACGTCTGGTGCTCGTTCTACGTAGATAGATGCGTAGGACTCTGACCAGACACAGTGATAAGTCTTCCTTATCTTCATTGCCAATTAATGAAGTTTGATAATGGTGGGATGTGAAACTGTCGGCCTGGCTGATTTTTGGCAATAAAATCCAAATGGAGACCAAGATGGACTGATGCATTGAGACCTTTATCAAATCTGGTGAGGCTGAGGTCTATAGAATGAATGTCTGACATTCTGAGTGAATTTGGAGTCTTCACCATGGTGATGACAGAGCTGATGGGTGCTAAGATTGAGCCCAGTGTTGAGATTCTTTGAGGTTCTGAGGTTGTATATCTGCTGGAATCCCCTTTGTCAAGACTCTTCCACTTATCATCATACAGACTTCTGGTACATCTTCATATAGACATTGAGACTGCTGCTCTGCTGGAATAGCCGCGCCTGGTCAAGTTCTTCTTGATCTGCTCCATGCGTGCTTCATGTGAGGATAAGTGAGAAGGTTTGACCAATCTGGAGGTTTTAGAACCGGATTGCCTGCCAGCTGGATGAGTTGGCTGTCCTGGTCATCAGTGACTGATTCGACAGTCGAGGGTCCCAGTGGTTAATGGCTCGGATAACTGCCCAACCTCGGTGATTGATGTGAAGTAGCTTCTCTTCTGGAGACCACAGCCCTGAGGTTACATCTGTGTCGTGGTGTGCTCCCAAACCCTATAGAGACGCATCTACATATAGATGCAGGTTGAAGATTGGCTCGTCAGACCTTCGATTTCATCGTCCACCATTGGAGATACTGTAGTAGTGATCTGGTAGTTGTGGCCTGAAGTCCTGCTGGTCCAGGAGTGAAGTTAGAAACCTCTGGATGGGTGGTAATTGCAGTCTGCCCCTCTTCATGAGTGATTAGGCTGACGATGGGCAGCAATCGTAGGGTGAAATTCAACTGATATTTGAGTTTAACGGCTTGTTGAAGTGCTTTAATCCCGTTGTCTAGGTGGAAGGTGCATCTAATTACCCTGTTGTGCAGGAAGCTCACGATGGGCTTGGTTACCCGTGTGAATAACCACGGGCCATGAACATGCCAAACTGTAGAACCGTCCACTGGTATTTTTGATGGTTGAACAGGAATCGTAGATACTTCCTGGACCCTGGGTGGATTGGCATATGCAGATATGCATCCCTTAAATCCA